ATATTAATATTGATATTAAAATATTATATTTAACAATATGATAATTCATTTGATTCATTTATTGTATTATATTCAAATATACATAGAGAATTTAATTAATAATAAAAAATTGAACAAATTTCAGATTGGAAAATAATGAACATTATTTATCATTTTTATTATTTAATTAAATATTAATTTTTAAACCAATTAATTAAAACTTTCATTTAATTATCTGTTTTTATCAGATTAAAACATACTTCTCATTTTTTGAATGAATTTACCTAATGTTGATTTTTCTCCTTGTTTTAATTCTTTCATTTTTCTTTCAATCTCTGCTTTAATCTCTTCCTTACTCTTTTGTGTTATTGATTTTTTCATAATATCTTCTATTATTTCATTTGATTGTTTAAGTTGTTTATATCCTTCAATTCGTTTTTTATATCCACTTTTCTTTTCTTCATTCTCTGAATCAATTAATATATCTAAATATTCATTTGAACTAGTAATTTTACCATTTAATGCAATTGATGATAATATATTAATACATTTTATAATTTTTAATTCTTTATCATAACAATCCATTTGGATTTTAATATATTCATCTTCTAACTTGTTTAACAGATTTTCTGCACTAGCCATACCTTTTTTACCTTCGTTATATCTTTCAAGTACTTCTTGTGCTGTTTGTTGTTTTGTTTCTGTTACATAATCAAATCTATATTCTACGTTTGCATGTTGTGTATAATGACATCCACATACTTTACAATATCCATTAGCACCAATACAATAACATCCATCTTTTACATCTCCTGAAATATAACATGGATAATGACATGTTCTATTACATCTCAAACAATTAGTTACATATTCTCCTACTTCTAACTCAATCTTTTTTTGTACTGTTACATTAACAGTAAATGTAAAATCATTATTATTATTAATTTTATCTCGATTCAAATAGAGCTGTTCATATGTCTCTTCTATATCATTCAGTTTTGATATTCCATTATTTATTGATATTCTCAGCCCTTCAATTTGAGTTTTAATTTGTTCTCTTCTCTTCAAAACTTCTCTGGACTGTTTTAATGATATTCTTGGTAATTTTGTTAATTTTTTAATAAATTCATCAAAACTTTTCATACCTATCCCAAAACATTTGTGTAAATCCATCTTCAGTACTATCAGCATAAATAGCTGAATTATTAAATTTTAAATACCATGGTTCATCTATTTCTGGAATAATTGTACTGAAAATACAATCTTGAGATTGTAATGCTCCAATAATTTGTGGGTCTTCACCATCACAGAATGAAGCATAGTAATAAAATTCTTTTTTACATCTTTCCCAAATAAATCAATAATATTATCAAATATATATTTTTGACTTGCTGTTAATCTTGGATTACTTGATTGTGCAACAAAACAAATAGCATTTAGATCTAATACTTTTGTTTCAAATGCTTCTTTGATTTGTTTAGTAATTTCTTTATCATGTTCAATTCCTCTTGTATCTCCAAATCCAGGTGTATCTATTATTTTTATTGGTGGTGTTCTTTTTGTTCTTTTAATATTATAAATTGTTACTTCACTTGTTTGACTTTTAGATTGATCTCTATTTTGTTTTAAATTATCTTCATTTATAATTATATATCTAAAATCATCTGTTATCTTAATTCCATATAATGCATTTACAAAACTATTTAATAATGTTGTTTTACCACTTCCTGTTTCACCAACAACTAAAATAGCAATTGCTTCACTCTCATCTATTTGGTTAAATGGTTCATTTGGATATAAATATATTTTCAATTTTCCTTTTTCATGGCTTTCCAATCTTATATTTCCTTCAATTGGAACATTTTTTCTGGGTACAGTTGTAGTATTATTTGATGATGTATTATGTGTTGTAGTATTACATAGTGAACCAACAGATGTTGTATTATTATTTGATGAAGTATCAGACATTTCTGTTGTTATATTGATCTTGTTATCATATAAAATAGATGATAATTTTAATGATTTTTCATTTTCTCTTTGTATTTTATTTCTTTCTTGATCTTCAAATACAAAACCTTTTGTTATACATGTTACAATTTCAAGTTTCTTTCTGATATCAGAAAGAGAAATGTTCTTATTGAATTGTTTTTTCATGAATATTTTTCCATCCAAATATATTCCAATTGTTATAGTATCCATTCCTTTTTCATTTTTAATAATAATTTCATCATTGTTTATTATATTTTCTACTAAAAATGTTTCTTCTTCATCTTTTTCAATTATTTCATTATCAAGTGTATAGAAATGTGCAGATTCTGGAATATTTTGAATTGATTTTCTGATATCACTTAATTTTGTTTTCTTATCCAATTCAATAGTTTTAAATAATTTGTCATTTAACTTTATTTTTACTTCCTTTTTATCTTCTTTTTCTTTGATATTTATTATTCTTGATGAATCAATTACATCTTCTATAGTAAATGAATCTTCATCATTTATATCAATTAA